AATCACATGAACTGAGCTCTGTTACACCCTTTTAAAGTTGGAAGATAATTACTGCATCTCAAAGTTACTGGGCAGGAGAGCTGGAAAGGCGTTTGTTAATAGGAGGAGGGCAGGTAGGCTGCTGCACACACCTACAAAGGTGTGACACAGCAGCTGGCTGGAGCTTTGAGCCCAGCACTGTCTCCTAGCTACTTGGATCTTGGAAATACCAGTTTACAAAAGCTCGAGGAAGGATGGCAGAGGACAACAAAAATGACAGAAGTTGGTTTACTCTTCTATAGGGAGAAAAATCTAGTGGCTTTCCAAGCACGGTAGAAGAAGCCTTTCCAAGAAAGAATGCATGTTCTTTCCTACTAAGCTGTTAAGCAGGACATGCTTGGATTTACTTTATATGTAAATGGACCAAAAAAAAAGATTGGTTGCTTTGGAAATGAGAGGGAGGGAACAGAGTTTTGCAAGAAGTCTGCAGGACCTTTTTCATGCCAATAGATGACCTGAGATCAGAGCCCTGGCAGAGAAGCAGAGCCCCTGGGACAAAGCCGTGTTTGAAATGGCAAGAGCAAAAGAGGTGGGAAACTCTGTCGTGCACTCGGTAGCAGCATCTCATGCCTTCTGAGACTGCCTTCCTTGTGAAGCACTCCGGGGGGGGTCAAACTAGGGCATTTCTCACAGGTTTGCAGGCGGAGATAGCACTAAACTCGTCACTTGATTTCTTTGCTGTGTGTCTGTGTCTTTGTGTTATCCGTATCCTGCTGTGGAGCCCAGCCCTGAGCAGGTGCAGAAGACTTACCTGGGAACAGTGAGACAGAGTAGGGCTGGGCTGGTAGTTAACAGTAAGTTGAGAAATCTGCCCAACTGTGGCATGTATGGGGGTTTTTGTTTTGGGTTTTGTAATTCATGCACAGCTCAGAAAAACAGCAGTTCTTTTCCTTGATGCTGGAAGCCTTAAAATTAATCTTTCAGTTCATGTTTTCAACAGGAAAGCATATATAAATAGTGATACATACTGTTTTCTGATTTACACTCTGAGTTTGTCCATTTCTGTAATTTGTCAAGCTGTTCTCCACTCAGTGAATGCCTGGGTAGCAGCCACAATGGGTTTGCTCAAATTCTTTCAGTTGCTAAAAATAAGTTGATTTTGAAGTTATTTTCTGTAACTGCTGAAGATATTTGAGGCAATAGTAGTTGACTGCCAGCCTATAGGACAAATTGTTATCATGCAGCACCACATTCCCAGCCATTGGTAGGAGTCAGGAAAAAAGATCTGTGCAGTATAGAAGAAAGCATGCAATGCACTGAGACACAGAAACAGAAGACAGGGTTTGGTGCCCACATGGGAAATACAGTTCCTACACATGAAGTTTTGAAAATACATCATCAAATGTGCTGGAAGGCATGTGAGTTAAATCATCTCAGTAACATTCTGTCCTAACTTTTCCTCCTTGGTCCTTCAAACTAACAACTCTGGGTACTATAATGGTGTGCTTCTAGATAATGGTGTGCTTCTAAATGCTGTTGTATCTTGTTTTCTTCAATTAACCTCTGCTGTATTTTTTTCATTAGTTGCTTTGCTTTCAGCTTGCTTTCTCATACCCCTGTTGCCCAATCCTTGTTTTGTTTGTGGTTTGTTGGTTTGGTTTTTTTCCCTCTGGTTAATATTCATTGACAAATATTACTTTACAGCAACACAAGGAATATTGTCATAAAAGCCCTTTCTGTGTCAGACTTTACGAATGGGGTCAGCAGGTAACTAAGTTTGTGGCTGTAGCAATAGCTACCAGAAAATGAGTTCTGGGAGGAGAAGTATGCATTGAGACTGGGCAGGCAAAAGTCTCCTGAAACCAGATAAGCCCTGGAGAGCTGTTGTCCTGTTGAACTCACTGGACACCCCATGACCCCATAAACTCCAAACAGCAAGTGTCTGCAAACCCATCCAGTGCCTCCACCAACACACACTAGCACCAACAGCAGGTTGTGTAACTCAGCTTCCTCTGAGACAGTGGTGAACATAGGCTGTAGAACTAAATATACCCCTGGTGAAACAAGGGACCTCCTGAGGGACTTTCTCAATGCCTACCTGGAAATCAGTGACCCACCAGTCTGACCTTCCCAGCTGGGTTTGGCCTCCTGCCTGCTGCAGCAGAAGGGTGACATGAGGGGTTGTGGGAATGGACTGTGGGAGGGGGAGAAGTGACTGCACTATGTGAATAGTCACCAGCTATTAAAAAATCTGCTCAATTCTGTTAATAACTGCTTAACTCCAAGCATTCTCTCATAAATATTGGTCTGTTTCCCCCAGCACAATCCCCCTATCAAAGAAACAGATAGTATAATACAAGGAAATTGCAACTGTGAGTAACTTTAAAACAGTGAACAAATCACAGGTTTCTGTCCTGAAAAAAATGCATAATCTTTTATGTATGTTTATATATATATATATTTCATTACACAGGATTTTCTGAAATTTCTTTTTAAATTCTTGTTAAGTAAACATACCTTTTTTTTTTCCCCCCCTCTGATTTAAGGTCTTTTCCATTTCTCAGTTCCTCTAGATCTTTATCCCTTTGCTTTTTATCCCTGGACCTTCTTCCTATGTCAATGAGTAGATATCTTAGCAGGGGTCTCTTTAGGAGACAGGAGCCTATTTTAAAATCTGCACAGCCTGTGTATGTTGGGGAGTTTTGAGGAACTGAATTGTGCTTGCTGGTTTATGTAGAGCAGCAATATGATCCCAGTGTCTGCAGCTGAGAGCTATGCATGGCCTGGCATGTAGTGGGAGGAAACATGGCATTCTTTCCTCCCCCGTGTTTTCACTGCACGCTTTCATCCCTCCACCCTTCCAAAGAAGGCTGCAGCTCCCCATCGTTACCTTCCTCACACCCACTAACTAGTACTTCTTCTGCGTTCCTTTGTCCACCTAAATGAAACTCCACCTTAATGACCTGGTGTTTCCTACCACTCCCTGGCCCGGATGCTGCTCGGGCATCTCTAGCCAGAAGTACAGGTTGAGGAGCTGGCATGGCTTAGGGAGCAGGTGGAGACCTGGCAGCAGCAGTGCATGCAGCAGTGAGCAAGTGCCAATTATCTCATCTGGCCATTGCTGTCACATTGCTCCCTGGAGCTCAGGGAAGTACATGTATGCAGGCAAAACGTTGGGAGCTGTTGCTGAGATGTATATACAAACCAAAGAGGTACATCATCATCAGTTTTCAAGTTTTAGGAACCTTCGCTGTGAGGATTTCTGGATTTTTTTCTTTCTTTTTTAAGGCTATATGGATGAAGTCCAGCATGGTAGTGTTACTCAGAACACTGAGGTCTACTTAGTGAAGACAATGAAATAGTTATGTCTGTCTTCAATATGCCTTAAACACCACTCTCCTCAAAAAGTAGACTGTACTAAATGTTTCATGAGCAAATTAACTCTCACATTTCTAGTGGAATCGCCATGTCTCTCCTCTGATGTTGCTTGTTGGAAGTTCTGCTCAACACATTCTGATGCAAGATTACTTCTTCTAACCGTCGTCTTAAGAGTGTCCCACCACTACAAGTTATTGGAGTGGTGCTGTTAGATCCCATCTTAACTTCAGGGGGGTCTGCTTGAGCAAAAGCCAATATACCACGATGGATATGCTGTTTCTTTGCCAATAGGATGCCTGAGGTTTGTCAGCTGTGCTGGAATCACTTTCCACATTAAACAAATGGAGGGGGGGAAAAAAGAGTGCATTAAAAAGCAGAGCTTAAGAGCCTTGGAGAGATTCAAATAAATGAAACAATAACACGTTTAATAGCTAATTCCCATTCTGGTTTGGCTTTAAGGTAGCTGCAGCCTTCCAGTCTGCTAGCAGCCTTCCTAAGTTCTCTGCCAGGATGAGTCACAGCTCTTGGAGCTGGGATCCAGTCCTTCAGACAAGCCATCTTTAAAGATCTGTTTACCTTTCCCAGATGATAATTAATCAGAGTGAGATTCGCTTTGTTTTCTTCCTCTTTAAAACAGGGTTTATGATTAATATAAATTAATTTGTAGGAGCTTCTGGCACCCCTCAGTCCTGATTTAATCCAAGACCCTCTGGGACCCTGTTTGGTGTAGTTTCATACTGCTATGCAGAGATAGATGCCTTTGGAATACCCCTCCCTGCTGGGCTGTCTCAACTAGTTGACTAGGAATGCAAAACAAGCAATAACCAGAACCTTGGTCTGACTGTAAACCATTATTTACCTGCTAGGATTGCTGACTGAGAAGACAAATTAAGAACTTTAGCCACGTAAACCTAGTATGTAATTCATGGCACAAATTGAAACCCATATATGGCTTCTCCTGCTTAAGTTTCCCTAGCCTGTAATGTAGCACTTCAGAGAATGGATGTGAGAACAAATCTAGCAAATGCAGACAATCACATTTAGGCACACAGAAGGGATCAGGCCTTCATGTGGCTGCTACAAGTGGGCAACATCGTGACTTCATTGCTAAATGAGGTCAATTGCTGCAAAAGGTTGCCAGTGTTTTTGTGTTCTACTGGCAAATACCACAGGCTTTCCTTGGTATCAGTTTGTGTGTTTCTCAATGGTAGATTATTTTTTTTTCCTCTGAAAAGCTGTTCAAGCAAGTGCAGCAAGGTCCCAGTGGCATGACACAACAGTCATGACTGGTTGCCTGTGCTCTGAAGAAGCCTGGTCAGATGAAGAAACACAACGTGCCTGGCAATTATGAATAAACTCTGAATGTAGCTCTGCATAAGGGACTTTGTAGATTTGCTACTATATCCGAGGGGCATCTGATTGTTGTGCAGATGTGTTAGACACTGAACCATTGTGAATACAGCTGAATTAGGGTATTGTAATGAAGGACTTCTCCTCTTGTTTCATTTTTAGCATACGGCTATTGCATCACTGCCCAAACGATGCAGACAAAGACCATTCAGTGAGCCTTTTTTTTTTTTTTTTTTTAAATTCCCTTTTTGCTTGTTGAACTAAAGGTTTTCATGTTTTCTTTCCAGTACCAAACTGCTGCAAGAAATAGTTCAAGCCGGCAACCAGGGCAAGTGTTTGGATGCTCAAAGTAAGTATGTTTGTGTGTATTGTTACATCACTAGCAGCTGAGAAAGTACTCAAGAACTTGTGTTTGATGTCTGTAAGGCAGTAGCTAGATAAGCTTGGTATTAATAAGATGTTATATTCCTTTGCAACATCTTTGACTGTGTAATTAATAGATTCCAGTCGTCAGGAATTATTTATGAAGCATAAATGATGAAAACTGAAGTAGATGCCACTGATGTTTTGAAAATCATTTGGTTTTTGACTGGAGAAAGAAGGAAAGGCTGGCAGAAAGGAAGAAAAAAACCATGAAAACTAAAGGTTGACCCTTTCTGTTTGGGAGTTTTGGGAAATTATATTATTGTTGCTGTTTTGTTTTGTTAAATGTTAGCACTTTGGTACATTAGTGCTGCCTTCATCATGTTAAGTGGGAAAAGGGCACATTAGTAATTACAGAATGACAGATTTTTTTTAGTTGGAAGGGACCTTAAAGATCATCAAGTTCCAAATCCCCTGCATGGGCAGGGACACCTTCCACTAGAACAGGCTGCTGAGAGCCTCATCCACCCTGCCCTTGAACACCTCCAGGGATGGAGCCCCCACAACATCTCTGAGCAGCCTGTTCCACCCTTTGCACTGAAGAATTTATGCCTGATCTCTAACCTAAATCTCTCTTTTTCAGCTCAAAACCTTTACCCCTCATCCTCTCACTGCAAGTCCCTGTAAAAAGCCCCTCCCCAGCTTTCCTGTAGCTCCTTCAGGCACTGGAAGGCCCCTATGAGGTCCCCCCAGAGCCTCCTCTTCTTCAGGCTGAACAGCCCCAACTCCCTCAGCCTGTAACTAACGTCAGATAGAATTTGTAAGGTGCTGCCCCTTTTTAATCGACACCAGTAGGAGTTTAAATCGCATCCCACCCGAGCTGGATGCTAATTTACACTGTCCAGCCTCCAGCTTGGCACGTGTGAAATCCGCTCAGGGAGTCACCTGCGGAGATCCAGGATTCCAGCAGGCAGGAGGCCCACAAGGTGGCAATGTTTAGAAAGCCTTGGGAAAGGATGCGCCTGGAACGGATCCGGGTCTGCCGCGGTTGCCATCGCTTGCTCCTCTTGTGTCGTTGCTGCTGCATCTGTGCTGTACTAAGCACGAAACCTTCACTGCTGCCAAAACGGAGCGTAAGATACTCAGTAATAAAACCCCTCTTTGAACAGATTGGCTACTGACTGTGCCCACCGTACTGTGCTGGAGGCTGTAGGTGCCTTTTCCCTTGGCAAGGAAGGTGCAGCAGCAGTAGTTTTTTGAAACGCAGTGCGGGGTTTCTTTATTCATAGCTACTGCTGAAAGTAGGCGAAGCTCTGAAACGATGCTAGGGCCGTATGGTGAAGAACTTCCATTCCAAAACATACCACTGCATTTCTACTAATGCTGGAAAAGCTGATGCTGGGAAAGCTGTTACAGTGTTCAAGTGCTAATGCGGATGTAGTGGGCATCTCAGTTTGCAGAGATACTTTGTTGGTGCTTTGTAGTTAAAAGTGAATAGGTTTATGTGGTCTATCTTAAAGTCTTGCTTCACAGTGAAACTAGGGATTTGCTCCAAGTTATTTAATGAAAAAAACTTAAATGCATTTTCAGAAAGTTTTCTTCAGGTACATGATAGACATGAGAAATTATTCCGTTTAAGTTCTATGGGAAGTGTAAGAATTGCCTGACTTTACTTGTACACAGGCAGGTAAGGAGAAAAGATTGACACTGGGAGAGGGAGAGTTAAAAGAGGAGCCACAGAGTTCAGATTCATCAGGCTGTGAGAGAAGAGTTACTTTCACAGCAATCAGAAGCTATGCAGGGCTCAAGTGCACCTGAGTGTTCTCAGGAGAAGAACAGTTTATAATTTAGAGCTAAGAGGTTTGTATGCCTCAAAGATGAAGCAGTAGCTCTAGACTACAAGAGGCATCTTGAAAGCAAGAACCAGGAGAATGTAAAACATCCACCAGGTGTGGCAGATGGAAGTGCAGTGGGGCAGTGTCCTGTTTTGGGGGCAGCTGGTTATAACAGCAGGCCCTGTTTCTGCACTGTGCTGGTGAGATGTGCCAAGCTGACAGAAATTAGCTTTTTTAATAACTTTGCAAATGTCCCAGACAAAAAGCAATGTCCTGTGCTGAGCCATGGTGGGTTTAATCTACAACTTCCTACCCTTGCATGGAGTGGTTGTCACTGCTTAAGGTCAAGTTTTGTCACTGTGGTTATACTGGCATTGTCACAAGTACTTTGAAACAACAGGAAACCTAAAGAAACCTGTGAGTGTTGAGATAGTGTGCAGCCACCAGATGGACATTTATAAAAGCACACAACATCCTACCTGTCTAATAGAAACTTATCTGACATGTGCAGATTTCCTGCAATGAGGACCCCTCTCCATGAAGCAACAGACAGCTTTCCAAAGTATTTCCTGTGGATTGCTGCTTACTGTGTCGCCTTCCCTCTCCAAATCCCTCAGTCTTTATGGCCTCTTAAGGGTCAAAATAAAGATCTAGTCATCAGCCTTCTAATACCAGAGATTCATTATATTGCTAGAGAAACAGCTGAGCTATTACAATTGCAAAAGCCAAATCCATGTAACAAGCCATGATATACTATCTTCACTCAGGAAACCTTCCTGTCAGGTTTCAGTGCCTTTGAGCCTGACAAACTGGCATAGATTTTCATGCCATTAAATGACATGGACAGCAACATCAGGAATGGATGTGGGACTATTCAAGGAATTTCACACCTTTTATACTGGGCTTCTGGCAGTTACAATTCCCAGCTTGATATATTATCACTAAAGCATTTACAATATACCCTCACATTGGGAAGCAGTTCTGGCATTTGTTACATTTCAGTAATTTTGAAATATAAGGTAAAGCAAATATATTGTTTAAAAAGTATAAACACATGTATATCAAAATATGTGTGATGAACTACTAATTCAAGAGGTTTTCAAGGGACACCTGAGCAAAGAGGCCCCGGTGAGCTTTTCTCTTCTTTACACAGAACCAAATGTTCTCCGGTCATTCGTGCAGAAGCTGCATATAATTACTTATACCAAGCAGACTGAGAAGCATTTCCTCTCACTTCTTTCTCCCTACCTCCCAGCAGCAGCACTGGTACAGAATAAAATACTACTTATATTTAAGTGCTCTTTGTTTCCCACGCTTGTTTCCCCACACTGGTCCTCTTAATGTCCACCAAAGATGTGACTGACTTAAGGACCATTTGTACCTTCAGGCCTTCTCAAGAAGTACAAAATAGGTGAACTTCTGAGCCAAGCAGACTGCTTTGAAAGCGTTTTCATTCAGTGAAAACAGCATAAGGTCCCCCAAAATGTAGTGGAAGACATCAGTTCAGGGGTCAGTCCACAGGACTGCTGGTTTTGATCCAACGTGAGAAAACTGGAGACCTGAGCCTAAGAGAGCAAAGTTAACAGAAGTGGAATGTTTGTTTATGGCAGTGCACTCACTAGCCCCATTCCCTTCTTAACTTAGGAATTGGTGGCTTGAATAGCCTTTTATGGTGCTGTCTGAGAATATTCTGAACTTTGGGGTGATATTTATTTTTTCAGTGCCCAATAACAAAAATTATCCCACAGGAGCTCAGCAAAGCAGCTGAACACAACTTTTCAAAAGTTTCAAAAAGATAACGTGTGGTTTTGTTCACAGTTAATAATGAGATCCTGTCCAACACAGAAGCTGTCAACAGCACTGACATAGATTCACAGTTACAAAAACACATAGCCCTGTGGTTGGGGGGGTTTATTAAATAGAAACCTCATTTTCTACTGCAATGAGGAAAGACACTGTTTTCATGCCACTAGTACCTTTTGCACTGAAATTTGACAGAGGCCTTTTTTTCACTTTATACACAATGTGACTGTTCAGAGTTTACAAAATGTTGCTCCTTTGTGCCATGACTGTTGAAGCCATATCAATATACAATAATATAACAATAATTATACTCTTTTTTTCTGGTCATTTTTTGTTACCTTCTGCATTTATCTATCAATGCTGCTTCATTTATAAGCTGGAGAATTTTTATTAAAAGACAATTGAAGTAATGAATCGAGATTTGCTCCAGCTGCAAAAAAAAAACCCAAACATGTATTTTTAAGGACATTAAAAAATAGTAATCCTTGTCAGAAACATTGAGTATTTGTAGTGCATCCCAGATGCTCTAAATAGAACTGTGTCACTTTTCAAAGCAATTTCTAGATTTTATAAATATAATCTTGCAAATTTGCCTAGGACCTACCCTGATTCTGAGTTGTCATCCTGAGTCTGCCGTCCGGCTGGATCTGTTAGGAAAGCAGAGGATCTTTTTACAGTAGTTTTTGTCTTCCTAGTCTGTTTGCAACACTGACTGTGAGTGTGATGGCTTGCTGCTCACTTTCATGTCCAGAACGTGCTAACAGCAAAGTGCTAAGTAGCTGTAGACTTCATCTAGGGAAGGAAAGGCAAAGGGAAGAGAGATGGAGAAAGGAAGGCAAAGAGAGTAGTGTAAAAGAAAGATGGGAAGACAAAGTTGGGTTGGTGCAGTGGTGATGGCACACAGTGATGGCCCCCAAGTGCTGCTGAGGAATGTGGTTGTCATGGTTTAGGCCCAGCCAGCAACCAAGCATCACACAGTCATTCGCTTAGTCCTCCCCACAATGTGGGATGTGGAGAAGAAAATATAACTAAAAGCTCATTGGTCAAGACAAGGACAGGGAGTGTTCACTCAGCAATTATAGTCACAAGCAAAACAGACTTGGCTTGGGGAAAAAATAATTGGTCACTGATCAAACAGAGTAGGGTAATGAGATGTGAAACCAGGTCTTAAAAGAGCCTTTCTTTCCTCTCCCATCTTCCCTCCTGATTTCTCTACCTTCTCCCCCCTCACATAGCAACTAGATATGGAATGGGTGTTGCAGTCAGTTCATCATGTGTTGTCATCACACTCTTCCCCTGGGTCAGCGTGTGGTCCCTCCCATGGGAGGCAGTCTCCATGAACTCCTCC